ACCAGCCACTCCTCGGAAGGAAGGTTGGGCAATCCTACTTCCGTAGTGATACTGCCTCAGAAACCCAAGGAGGGGTCGCTATGAGTCAGGTTTGACTCGATGGCACATAACAACAACAACTCAATAAGCAAATGAGAAGGACATCATGCTTCGTAAAGTAGAGGGTCACTGAAAAAGAGGAAGGCCCTGAACGAGATGGATTTGTTTCACTCTGTTTTTCATAGAGTCACTATGAGTTGGAACTGAGTTGATGGCACCTAACAACAACAATGGTACTAGGTAGCCAATAGAAGGGATACAGAGGGAAAAATGTTGGTGCTACTTAAAGCAAGTTCCTAAGCTCCTTCCAGTTTTCATTCTATTAGATAATCTCTAAACCCTTTACCTTTGCTTTATTTATTACCCATGAATTCTAAAAATACAACTCTAACCCAGAGCTTTCCTCCCCACTTCATTTTTTTTTTTTTAAGGAATCTTCCCAATTCACTGATCATGTGAAGTCATCAAGTCCTTATACCCCTGTACTTTCCTTTAGAGAACTTAATGCTTTTGTAATTCGACATTTGTACAATTATTTGATTAATGTTTATATCTCAAACTAGACTGTATTCTTCATGTTTAAGCTCACCATTGTCCTTAAACACCCAGCTCCACATCTAGCTAGTCTATAGGCTATACTCAACAAATATTTGTGATAAAAGAATGAATGATAGGAAAAGCATATGGAAAGAAACATACTACTATGGTAACTACATTGGATTTGGATGTAACACTTTGCTTTAACACTACATAGCGATTAATTCAGTGATCCCAGGACGTTACATAACCTCTGTGTGCCTCAGTTTGCTTACCTGGTAAAACAAATACTTATTTGTGCCTTGCAAAATAATTGTGAACTCAATTGTGATTACTATTAGAACTGGGAAAAGGCATTCTCTCGTTGCATAAGCGCTCTTCAGGTGAGCCTGACCCTAGACATGGTATTTTCTTCTGAAAGCTGGACAATGAATAAAGAAAGTCAAAGAAGAATTGATGAATTTGAATTGTGCTACTGGAATACTGAAATAAGAATATTTAAAATATCATGGACTGTCAGAATAACAAAAAAAGTCTGTCTTGGAAGAAGTACAGCTAAAATGCTTCTTAGAAGTAAAGATGGAGATACTTCCTCTCTCTTACTTTGGTCATGTTATTAGAAGGGACCACTCCATGAAGAATGACATTGTGAGACCATTTTTATGTGAGACCATTTTTTATAACCACCCTGTATATAACCATTTTATATATATATATA